ATCCTCTTCTATCTTAATTATTTAATTAATATTTTTTTAGGTAGGTGGGTGTCACATGGAGCTAACGTGGAAGTTATAGATTGTGTGTGTGGGTGGTGCGGTAAGGCTTGACAGGGGTGAATGTGACTACTATATTACAGGAACTTAAATTTATTACAAGTACAAGATAATTGAGAAAACCCCGCTGCAGTACTGTGGACTTTGTGCGATTTGGAGGGGGCGGGGATCGTAGGGAAGGGGGGGGGGGTCAAGGTGCTCATCAACTATGAATTATTTTTTTTGCGTCATTTTAATTTCGTCTCTGGCCGTTTCACGGATTTCTTTCATGCCATTTTCCCCAGAAACCAAATCAGTCATGTGAGATAAAAATATCTGGGTGGTGCCGGACTGTGAAGTTGGGCGCCAGAGGACGCCATCCGCCCCCCACCCACACCCTAGGCTCCCCTTCCCCTCTAAAACAACACGTTTAAAAACAGATCCAATTCCATTTGATCATCGCCGTTCTAAAAGAGGAACTTTTACATCAGAGTGCAAACATGTTCTCTCCCTCCCTCCCTCCCTCCCTCCTTCTCTCTCCCGCACTCACCCCCCCCCCCCCTCCTCTCTCTCCCTCTTTCTGTTGCACCGAGTTAAAGAGAATACAATTATAGAGAGCCGTGATGAGAAATGTGGCCAGATCAATAGTCGGGCGATAAAGTAAAAATTATCATGTAACAATAAAAATTAAATCTGATGGTTGGGCGCACAGAAAGATAACTAGTTTTTCTACGGCCTCACGTTCATGGGCGATAAAAGGCTGGCTACATTTTTTTTTCTGATTCGTTCTGCGAGATTATTTTAAAGCCAGGAAAATTATCAAGTTTTTTTTAAAAAAGGTATTCAGTAACCACATAATTGTTATGTGGAAAAGCACAAATAAATATAACCTTATTGAGATGTATATATATATATATATATATATATATATATATATATATATATATATATATATATATATATATATATATATATATACACACATATATAACACCAGGGTTTTGAATAGGACATCGGGATCTAGTGGGCCAAAAGGAACGGTGCTATTAAAGGCCTGGTAGTGCTTTGGTGATTTGATTTAAAAAAAACTGTTGATAAACTAGACCCAGTCTTTTGGGTACGTACCTTTCTATGTTACCATTCCTATCACGCCCGGTAGTGTAAATTTCGTGCACAAAATATGCGTGCTAAAAGTTTAAGTCAGAAAGTCTCCCTTCTTATTTTACCCGGGGCTGGTGAACACAGACAGTCCATCCTCGGTAGAACCATCACGCTTAACTGTTCTGTAGATGGCCATGTATATATATATATATATATATATATATATATATATATATATATATATATATATATATATATATATATATATATATATATATATATATATATATATATATATATATATATGACTGTCAAGGGACCCCAATCATATGCATGTAATTTGACTCAAGGACTTGCTATCTACAGTTAGCAAACATCGACAGGTGTCGCCATTGTTACATGGTGTGTGTGTGTGTGTGTGTGTGGGAGAGGCACCATTATAGCAGCACCCCCCCCCCCCCCCGTAAAACCCCCACAACATTTGTCAACATGTCTACCGTTTAGGTTAAGGTATTTTAATTTTGTAATATTTTTTTTGTCATTTGTAAAGGTCTAGTCGAGCTATGGGCGTCGTTAAATGGGGCTTTTGTTCAGTTTATACATAAAACAACAATAGAGGTCTTCTATCAATCGTCCTATAAATCTTGATTGTGTCGTCCTATACATCTTGAGTGTGTCGTCCTATAAATCATGAGTGTGTCGTCCTATAAATCTTGAGTGTGTCATCCTATAAATCTTGGGTATGTCGTCCTATAAATCATGAGTGTGTCGTCCTTTAAATCATGGGTGTGTCGTCCTATAAATCTTGAGTGTGTCGTCCTATAAATCTTGGGTGTGTCGTCCTATAAATCATGAGTGTGTCGTCCTATAAATCTTGAGTGTGTTGTCCTATAAATCATGGGTGTGTCGTTCTATAAATCTTGAGTGTGTCGCCTTTTAAATCAATCATGGGCGTGTCGTCATATAAATCATGAGTGTGTCGTCCTATAAATCTTGATTGTGTCGACTTATAAATCATGAGTGTTACGTCCTATAAATCATGAGTGTGTCTGTGTCGTCCTATAAATCATGAGTGTGTCGTCCTATAAATAATGAGTATGTCTGTGTCGTCCTATAAATCATGAGTGTTACGTCCTATAAATCATGAGTGTGTCGTCCTGTAAATCTTGAGTGTGTCGTCCTATAAATCATGAGTGTGTCGTCCTATAAATCATGAGAGTGTCGTCCTATAAATCATGAGTGTGTCGTCCTATAAATCATGAGTGTGTCGTCCTGTAAATCATGAGTGTGTCGTCCTATAATTAATGAGTGTGTCGTCCTATAAATCATGAGAGTGTCGTCCTATAAATCATGAGCGTGACGTCCTATAAATCATGAGTGTGACGTCCTATAAATCTTGAGTGTGTCGTCCTATAAATCATGAGTGTGTCGTCCTATAAATCTTGAGTGTGTCATCCTATAAATCTTGGGTATGTCGTCCTATAAATCATGAGTGTGTCGTCCTTTAAATCATGGGTGTGTCGTCCTATAAATCTTGAGTGTGTCGTCCTATAAATCTTGGGTGTGTCGTCCTATAAATCATGAGTGTGTCGTCCTATAAATCTTGAGTGTGTTGTCCTATAAATCATGGGTGTGTCGTTCTATAAATCTTGAGTGTGTCGCCTTTTAAATCAATCATGGGCGTGTCGTCATATAAATCATGAGTGTGTCGTCCTATAAATCTTGATTGTGTCGACTTATAAATCATGAGTGTTACGTCCTATAAATCATGAGTGTGTCTGTGTCGTCCTATAAATCATGAGTGTGTCGTCCTATAAATAATGAGTATGTCTGTGTCGTCCTATAAATCATGAGTGTTACGTCCTATAAATCATGAGTGTGTCGTCCTGTAAATCTTGAGTGTGTCGTCCTATAAATCATGAGTGTGTCGTCCTATAAATCATGAGAGTGTCGTCCTATAAATCATGAGTGTGTCGTCCTATAAATCATGAGTGTGTCGTCCTGTAAATCTTGAGTGTGTCGTCCTATAATTAATGAGTGTGTCGTCCTATAAATCATGAGTGTGTCGTCCTATAAATCATGAGTGTGTCGTCCTGTAAATCATGAGTGTGTCGTCCTATAATTAATGAGTGTGTCGTCCTATAAATCATGAGCGTGACGTCCTATAAATCATGAGTGTGTCGTCCTATAAATCATGAGCGTGACGTCCTATAAATCATGAGTGTGACGTCCTATAAATCTTGAGTGTGTCGTCCTATAAATCATGAGTGTGTCGTCCTATAAATCATGAGTGTGTCGTCCTATAAATCATGAGTGTTACGTCCTATAAATCTTGGGTGTGTCGTCTTACAAATCTTGAGTGTGTCGTCGTATAAATCACGGGCTTATCTTTCTAAAACGAGACATATGCAGACATGCCCGCTCGTATGCCTGAACAAAAACTCTACTTCCCCAACACTAATTTAAAAAAAACGACTCTACTTCCCCTGCCCCACGAACCACCCACACACTATATTCAGTCGTACACCCCCCGGCGCCTCCCTTTCCCCGTACCTACATTTGTTTCACCTGAGCTCATTATGCTAATGACTGTAATTGATGCGCCGTTTGTTCTCCCACCATTACCGCCCTGAGCCTAGGCTTGACATTAATGACACATTATTTCAACACAATTATAATCACGTGACAAATATGTACATTAGGTCGTCTCATTAAAAGGTAATGGGAGGGGGGGAAATCAGCCGGTAAATAAAAAAATCACGTTTAATGATCGCGTATCTGTATATATACGTGTCTTGCATGTGATGTATTTCACATATGTATGTGTACTGGTGTAAATGTATGCGTGTATATGTATAAAAACGGATGTATCTCGCATGTTGATGAATCTATTCACAGGGCTGGATAGTTAATTAAGTCCGTGATTAGTTCATCAAGGTAAGGCGGGTGCACATTGCACATGTTTTCCTCACTGTTTTTAATGGGATGCTAAATTTAATCTTTAAAATAATGAGAAACAAACGTTTCATTACAATTAAAATATGGGAAGTCCTGAAGTTGAACCTCATTTTTATTTGGCTTTAAGTTAAATGCTACTAAGTCAAATTTTTAAAAATGGGTATGTTTTTAAAGCCCCCACCCCCTCCCCGCTGGAGGTGTATCTCCATCCCTACTCTCCTCTAAGGGTTACATGAATCTTTTTAGAGAGGTTGGGGGGGGGAGTTGGCTTAGAGCGCCAAATACTATTTGCACGGTCCCGTCTATTCATGTACAGCTGTGCAAGTGTGCACATGAATACGTGTTTATGTAAATATGTATGTGTGTTCGTGTGTATGTGCATGGTATATTTGTACACAAGGAAAAACACGAACACAGGTGTTACAATAGTGGATACACACGAACATAGGAAGGACACATATAGACTAACACGGACACGTATGTACACGTTCTGTAAGGGATACAAACATATATGGACACACACATGGACATATATGGACACACACAAACACACACAAATATGGAGACGCACATGACCAAAAATGGACATAGCTGAAGATAAAAACTTGGACACACATAAATTCACACAAAGATAGAGACACAAATTGCTACACATGGACATATCTGAGATACAAACATTGACACCTTGACACAAGGACACACATGAAAGAGCTGGACATAAATGGATACACATGTTCATACACATAGACACATACGAAAACAGCTGGACACATAAATATAGACACACACAAACATAGACACACATAAACATGGACACACATAAACATAGGCACACACAAACATAGACACACGAGGACACAGATGGACACACATGAACAAAGCCCGACACACACACACAAACTTACTCATTAGTAACAGCGCAGGTCCCGCATGTGCCAACCTGGATCATGTATACATGTCGCTCAACTTATCCATTCTTTAAATCTTTATCCATCGAGTTCTCATCCATATATTTCATCCATTTATCATCTACTTCTGATCGATTGATCGGAACCAGTTTATTCGAGTCGAAGTGGATGAATTGATTTTGTCCAAGCTCATAAGTTCTCGTTCAGTCATCACATTAATCCACTTTTACATAAAAACTACGAGAATCGATGAAAAAAATACGTAACAAAAAAAAACTTCGAAAAATCGATGGGAATAGTGTATGAATAAACTACGAAAAATCGAAGGGAAATTCTCTTTCCTAGTTAAACCTATACGGAAAAAAAGACGAAAAAACGTTTTCGTTAATCAGAGTTTTAAATTAAGTCCAGCTCGATCAGTCCTCCGCCAACGAGGTAATTAAGTGAATTAATTAATTAATAAATGAGTTGGATACAACCGGGATGGCCGGAGCAGGAGGCGAACAGCAGACGAGAGTAAGTAGTTCCCGTCGCACCCAGTTAAAGGTCGGTGGAGAATTATCGTCAGGTAAACACGACGTGCACACAACTCGATCAATAAGAAATGAAACGATGGCGGCGTTGTACGACGACGACGACGACGACACACAAGCAGCAGACGACGAACCTTAGCTTCCAGAGCCGTTTGTTCAAACAGGAAAAAATCTAAACCTCCTCGGAAGCACCGTGGTTGGATATGACGAAAAAAAAAATCTATTCCGTCTTGGATTCCACGCTTTCCGTATTATTTTTTTTCACTCTCTGAGTTAGATATTTAAAACTTGAGAATCCCTGAGTTTTCTAGTACAACTATACTTATAATTAAACAAATTAAGATTTATTTTGATTTTTATTTTATTGAAATAGAAGTCTAGAACCACAGCAAACGTTGCCAGTACACGCCCCCAGCACACGAGAACTCGGTAGGCTAGAGGCGAGCTCCAGAACGTCGTCCTACGGAGCCAGGAGGGGATCGATCGATGCCTCCATCCAGCTCTGCCGCCAAACCAACACACGAATGTGTGGGCTACACAAAACTCGGGTGGGGGTGGGGGGGGGGGAGGTGAGGAGGGGAGGGGGAGTAGATCAAACAAAGAAGCGACCTAAGAGCCGGGGAGAGGAAGTTGCTGATAAAATATTGAAAGTACAACAAGATCCTGTTGTTGGTTTTTTTTTCTCAAGCACTAATCTGGCGAAAGTAGCCGCCATTTTGTTCTGCGACTAACAGGAATAATTCGCTTGTCTTTGGCACCGTCGCCCACCGCCCGTCGCCCGCCGCTCTTTAATTAAGCGCTTGTGGCCGTCCGTAGTCAGATAATGGCTATTTATATGTTTCTGGCCGTCCATAGTCAGGTGATGGCTATTTATGTTTTGGCCGTCCATAGTCAAATGGCTATTTATATGTTTCTGGCCGTCCATAGTCAAATGGCTAGTTATATGTTTCTGGCCGTCTATAGTCAGATAATGGATATTTTATATAATGGATTATTTTATATTTTCCACCTAGAACATCCCATCACCACGTGACCGGAAGTGTTGGCAACTACCATCCTCATCACCACATCGCCACACGGCAGGGTGAGACACGACAGCTACAGCGACAAGAACAATCAATCCAACGCCCTTGTAAAAGATAAGGAACAATCTAGTGTCCTTGTGCCCTTGTAAACGATTGATACAATCTAGCGCCTTTTAAAAGGCTATTGGAGCAATCTAGCATCATTTAAAATGCTATTGGAGCAATCTAGCATCATTTAAAAGTCTATTGGAGCAATCTAGCGCCATTTAAAAGTCTATTGGAGCAATCTAGCGCCATTTAAAAGTCTATTGGAGCAATCTAGCGCCATTTAAAAGTCTATTGGAGCAATCTAGCGCCATTTAAAAGTCTATTGGAGCAATCTAGCACCATTTAAAAGTCTATTGGAGCAACCTAGCACCATTTAAAAGTCTATTGGAGCAACCTAGCGCCATTTAAAAGGCTATTGGAGCAATCTAGCACCATTTAAAAGGCTATTGAAGCAACCTAGCACCATTTAAAAGGCTATTGGAGCAATCTAGCGTCATTTAAAAGGCTATTGGAGCAATCTAGCGCCATTTAAAAGACTATTGAAGCAATCTAGCGCCATTTAAAAGACCATTGAAGCAAGCTAGCGCCTTTTTAAAAAACCTTTTGAACAATCTATACAATACTCAGGCGAAAAGATTATCAGAAATTAATTTACTAAAATTAGCTACACAAATAGGCCAATATTTTTGTCAAATATTTGTGAATTTTATAACAATACTGCAAAAAAAAAGCGTATCATACAGTTTATATAACCAAGTATACTTTATCACTACACTTCTAGTGCCATGTATAATATATCTTTAGAGTTTATAGTACTAAGTATAACGTATAATTACGTTATATAGTACCAAGCATAATGTATCACTACAGTTTATAGTACCAAACATATTGAATCACGACAGTTTATAGTACCAAACATATAGTATGAGCAGAAAAATCTAGAACCACCACGGCCTCCCCTAGGTGCAAGGCTTACATCCACATCCCCTCTGGTGAGCAGAAAAATCTAGAACCAGTACTCACGTGCGCCAAAGCCCGCATCAAAATCTTTGATGTGAGCGCCGCACCCTGGGGAAATGACCCCGGGGCTTAAAGCAGAATCCACGCACAGCTCTTTGCCCACCCCTTGCTCTAGCCGGGCTTTTGTACGTCGACTAATTCGGAAGCGACATTTATTTTGAGGGTAGGACTGTGGACAAATTCGGAAGCGACATTTATTTTGAGGGTAGGACTGTGGACAAATTCGGAAGCGACATTTATTTTGAGGGTAGGACTGTGGACAAATTCGGAAACGTCATTTATTTTATGGGTAGGACTATGGACTAATTCGAAAGCGACATTTATTTTGAGGGTAGGACTGTGGACAAATGCGGAAACGACATTTATTTTGAGGATAGGATGGTTTACGAATTCGGAAGTGACATATGTTTTATTATATTTTCCGGGGTGAGGGGGACGACGACACTAGTAAAAGTATGTGTTTTCTATAAATATTATTTCGTTTGTAGCCCCCCCCCCCCCTCCCCCGAAGAAATTCTGATTGCGTGGTCTGACGGCATGGTTGGTACTTGGCCCCTGACTACACACAAACTGCATTACAATTCCTAGCAGTAAACCGGGACCTACACCAAAAACAGAATCAACAAACGCCCCATTCACCCCTGACAGCTGACCTTTGTAGTGAGTACCCGTACTCGCTGACCTTTCACTATCCCCTGACGCTTCCAGAACCTTCCGCTGGTGCCAACAACGTGTGTGATTAAGTTAAGAAGCACTAAAGTAATTACATTTTGAGATACGCTGGTTTAATCTCACTTACAACTTAAAAAAATCACACAAGTATAAACGGGCCCTGGGAATTCGACTGTCGAGAACGACAGCCATCAAATATGATCGGCTTCGACGAAATGTCTAGCTTTGTATTTCAATTAATTTTTTTAGCGCAATTTCCATACGGACAATTGCGATTATTAACTCGTCATTTCTGGATGTATGAATGGATGGATGTGTGTCCGCAGCTTTAAGTGGTATCTCCTCCTCAACGAAGCAATATCGAGGACTAGTTCCAAAAGCAAATATGTTAAGCAAGTTCCGAGGATGATTGTGGGCCAAAAAAACTCCCGGAATTCCTTCCTGAATTTCCCGGAAAAGCCAAGAAACCTCGAAAAAATGCAGTTTTTGGCCCATATCTCGACAACCAGACCACTTAGCGACTTGAATTATTTATAAATTCCTGCCATAATTTTGAACAATATTGCCGAAGAAAGTTTTCAAAAATATCCTTTCGTTCGGTCACAAAAAATTAATTAAGAATTTTTAAACTGAGCATCGTGTAGGCCTAGGATGATATTTTTTATTTTAACTGAGCATCGTGTAGGTTTTTAGCGCAAAAAATATCCTTTCGTTCGGTCACAAAAAATTAAAAATTGTTATGGATAACATAAGGAAATTGCGCTTAAATTGTCACTAGACTTTTTATTAACTTGTTTAAGCTATAGCTAAAATTATTGACGAAGGGATTCTATAAAATGTTTTGAATTTTAAGAATTATTTGTAATAATATATTAGTACGGTATTCGCATCGGAATGGAAACGATGTCGTACCGTGGTAGGTCACCAGCTATGGCTATAGATGTCGGTGGTGTCACCACTTACAGTTCTATATGTCGGTGGTGTCACCACTTACAGTTCTAGATGTCGGTGGTGTCACCACTTACAGTTCTAGATGTCGGTGGTGTCACCACTTACAGTTCTAGATATCGGGTGTCACCACTTACAGTTCTAGTTGTCGGTGGTGTCACCACTTACAGTTCTAGATGTCGTTGGTGTCACCACTTACAGTTCTAGATGTCGTGGTGTCACCATTAATAGTTCTAGATGTCGTTGTGTCATCACTTACAGTTCTAGATGTCGTGGTGTCACCGATAATGGTTCTAGGTGTCACTATGTCACCATTAATAGTTTTTGATGTCGCCTTGTCACCATTGATAGTTCAACATGTCGTGGTGTCACCATTCATAGTTCTAGATGTCGGGTGTCAGCATTCATAGTTCTAGATGTCGCTGTGTCACCATTAATAGTTCTAGATGTCTTGGTGTCACCATTAATAGTTCTAGATGTCTTGGTGTCACCATTAATAGTTCTAGATGTCTTGGTGTCACCACACGATCAAAATAAATACGTGTCACCATAAATACCACAATCCACGAAATCTCAATAACACTATCATAATAATAAACTCGATAATTCTAACTCTATAACCCTAAACAACAACAAAATATGAAGTTATTTTCTCTGACAACATAATTGCAACCAAAACCAACCCAACATGATACTAAATATAGTAACACGATTACATAAACATCATGAAAACAACAGTTATCCACCCCCTCCCCCACCCCCCAGACACGTAGCGAGAGATTGATTAAACCCAGTTCTGATATTAAAGCGGTGAAACCGAGTTCGACCAAAGCGCACCCCCCAGCGAGCTATCGATTGGCCAGAGTTCTAATGGCGAGATGATAACACGACCATTTGACGCGACTCGGGACAACAACTCGCTCGGTAGAACGCACACGGGCGCGACATCAAGACAAGCCAAACATTCTTTGATGTGGGGGTTTTTTGTTTGGGTCGTCTACATTAGAGATGATTTCATTCCGTCATATTCACACTTGTTTTGACACCCGTCCCAACACATTAGTCTGTTCATTCATGGTACTACCCCAATCCTGCTGGCATCCCAGAGTTTCTTCCAGGCATCTACACTCCCTCCGAAGAAATTCTACCGCCCCCCCTGAACGAAATGGAATTTATCTAGAAAATATATAAATATATACTTTTGACAGTGTCCGTGCACCCCCGGAGAAAAAAGTCTGTTAGAAACACTGATCCCACCCGTAGCCCTATCTGATACCATCCCCATCCTGCTAACATCCCCATCCTGCTAACATCCCCATCCTGCTAACATCCCCACCTGCTAACATCCCCATCCTGCTAACATCCCCATCCTGCTAACATCCCACCCAGCTACCATCACTACTCTGCTACCACATTAACCTGCTACTATCGCCACCCTCCTAC